GGATTTTCCACAGAAATTGGCAATAACTGAAATTCACCTAATCGGTGGTACGTAAGGGTGCAGTAGTTTTCGTTCTCCGTGTTACATTTGGCTGCAAATACCTTGAGGCAATGATCTGAAGAAAGCAGATTTCACAGGGCAAGTAATGTTTTTGTATGCCTGTGACTTAAAAACTGCCATTGTGAATTTTATTCATTTTTTTTTAATCACATAATCTTCCCCCCTTGGAATACTTAAAACACTCCCTTCAATAAGTTGCATTTGTTTTTTTTAGTTTGATGCAGCCAAACACTCAAAATAAGGCAGCATATTAATAGAGGAGGCCATTTAGTCCTTTGAGGCTGTTTCTCAGGAAACACGTCCTCCCACTAAGTACAAATCCATCTTCGAATAGATCTGGTAGTTTGTTTTAAAAATAAAATGTATATAATCCCGGAAATTTCATTTCCCTCTTAAAAATACAAACACTAGTATCTGAAATGGGCATGGGAAGATCCAGTGGGCGGGCCTGACTATATATAAATGGTTCTGTGAAAACTCTTGCATAGCCAAAAACATCTCATCAACTCATGTATAATTTCACTAAATTAATAATGTTACTCTGGGGTCCCCAAGCCTTGGTTCTTGCCAACCTGCGCTTAATACTTTCCGGAATTGGGTAAACAAGATGTGTCCCTCCAGGGAGAGAGTGCGCATTCCATTCCAACGACTTATCTCTGGAATTTCCATGAGTAGGTAGGATGCACGGAAATCTCGGTTTGGATTGGATACTCTTAAGCATGGTGATGGGTTTCCACATGTGTCCCAGCATTTTGGGACGTCCTCCTGACGTGAAAAGAGCTCTATAAATGTAATTTTGTTGTTGTTGATGTGTCAGACACCCGGCTGGGCAAAACAAATAGAATCAACCGTTCATTTTAGGAGCAAAGTCTCAAATAATCCTGTATGTTCCTGTAATTAAATCCCATAGATTATGTTCAGAGGAACTATGGGATTATCCTGTATGGTTAATTTGCAGATATAGTTACAAACAAACATATTTACAAATTAATCCACTAAATGCTGAGTGACTGCTAACATTGCTTGAGGACAAGGAGGGAATCCTTTGTCGAAACGAGTACTTAGATAGGCATGGGTTAATCAGGGACAGTCAGCATGGATTTTTGAAGGTCAGATCTTGTTGGACCAATGTAATAGAGTTCTTTGAAATCATAACTGGAATGCTCTGAATACAGTATATTTGCATTTCCAAAAGGCATTTGAGAAGGTGCTACACGGAAGATTGATGAAGAAACATGGAATAGGGGGAAACATGGCGATCTGGATACAAGAGTAGATGAAGGATAGAAAGCAGAGAGTGGGGATAAAGGTTGTTTTATGGTTGGAGGACAGTGGTTAGTGGCGGGCTGGGGCCTGTGTTGGGACCTCCTTTTTTTCATTTATATCAACAACCTCAATTTAGATATCTGGGGTATGGAATCAAAGTTTGCAGATGATACCAAGTCAAGAAGTACGGTGAAATCATGGGCTATATAATAATTATTACAGGTAACCCGTGAGTTTGAATGGCTGCGAGGATTCTACTTTACAATATTATTTTTTATCTGAATGTAAATGAATAACTCTCGGATGAAGCTTTTATTTTTGATCAGGTAGAGAGTATTGTCAACTATCACAAACAGTATATCAATTAGACCAATGAGTATTACAGTAACATACCTTATAACATAAGCCATACTAGATCTTCTCTATAAAACTGTCTGGGAATAACACAAAGCACATGTCACTTAAAGGTACATCTTTTATAGAGAGGTTTTCACGTGTTGTCTACTAAACGAATGTCATAGTTATCTATCTTACAGCATAGCTTGTGGTAATATGTCAATGATAATCAAATGCAAATTAGACAATGGAACGATGTGAACCTTTTGGTCAACAATGAATAACTCATATTTAGTAACATGCAGCATAAGCCTTACACTCAACTGCCATGCTGTGTGCACAAGCCAGACTTAAATGAGTGCCTCTCATAAACAGGCAGCAAAGCAGGTCATGTACGCATCTATAGTTCAACCATTATTCCATGCCTTAATCACATGCCATGTTTCAAAGTGTTCTGCAAAATAAAACCATGCCTTGGTTTGAATACAGACATCAGATAACCAATTTCAGTTCTAAATGGATTCCTTTCCTAAATGAACAGCTACAGATTTCTCTTCACACAATAATTATTACGCCTTCTGTCTAGGGGGAAAAAATGTTGTGATTTCAATTTCAAACAAGATTATGCTGTCTTATTTCTTCATTTATCACAGTCATTGCTGCCAGACTGAGAATTTTTTCATGTCAAATAAATAGGTTACTCTGTAATAATCCAAATAAATCTAATTGCAAGTGTTTTAGAACTACAATGGCTGTGTGAGATATTGGCATGTGTAGAATATGATGCACATCCACAGTGCACAATCACTAACTTTCTTGCTGCTTGTTTTCCAGTATCCCTTTTGTTAGGCAGAAGAACACTACAGCTCAAGGCAATTTAAAATTAAATAGCAGAGTGACTTGAAACTTGCTTTTAGTTTCTTCTTCCAGGCTGAGTCAATCAATGTATTTGACACAATACAGTACAAAATTACATTTGTAAAGTGCCTTTCACGTCAGGAGGACATCCCAAGACACCTGCATTATATTCATCTTATATTGAAAATATTCTGAATTTTTTTTAAAGAAACAGTCTGCAAGAAATTTAATTACATTGTTATTATATCACTGTACAGATAACCCAATTATTTATGCAATAATAATCCTTGGATTTGATAAAGTGCCTTGTCACGTCTTTGAAACATTTCTAAGCACTTCACAGAATATACTGTAAACTGAATTGAGTGTATATTTTGTGGGCAAAACGCCAATTGCACCCAGCAGTGTCCCACAAACAGTCATGGATTGAGTGACCAAATCTTTTTCTTATTCATTTTGTCTTTTTTTTGAAGGGATTTGCCTAAAATTTCATGCTGCCCTGGAATCAAACTCAGGTTTATTTGATACCAGGACTGAAGCTTTTCTTTACAAAGAGAGATTAGAGAAACTGAGTCTCTAGAACAGAGAAGGCTGAGAAGAGACCCAACAGATGAAAAATAAAGTAAGTATTTAACAAGTGAAGAAATTAAAAATTTGAAATGGGGAAAGCACAATTAGATGAATAAAAATGTACAATTCAGTTTGAAAGAGTCTCTGCAATTGGAAAAAGGGATACTGTCTTGTTGTTGGCTAAGTTAGTATCTGTGCAAATAACCAGAATATAAATCGCATTGCAACTTTCAATACCAAATAATGGAATGTGTTATTCAAAAAAACGGGAATAATATGACGGGTAAGAAAGCTAGTCTACGAATGAAGAAAAACACTTGATCGGCAGATGAAATAAGCAGCAACATGCAATTTATGTTCCTACATGCAACTTATGTTCCTAAATGCAATGCTAACCGATCACGTCTCAGAATACTCCTCGTCTTCTCTGATGAGTACACAGATAAAACAAACAGTCATGGCTGCCCCAACCAGCTGCGATGCGATGAGCAAAGACAAAAAAGGGACATTTTAGCAATTAAAAAAAAGTCAACATCCTGGCCTACTGCACTTGTAGCAAAAATCCCTCCCTCCCTTCCCTCATTCAAGGTCTGTCTCAAGACCTAGCTCTTTAACTGCACTTTCGGTCATCTTTCCCCTTCCAATCCCCTCTGCTCCTAGCCCCAAGGTGGGTGCTAAACCAGGATTGTTAAGTACTTTGGGATGTCTTCCCAACAAGAAGAATGTACAAATGTAAATTTGTAATATATTATAAGTAATTGAAATCAAATGCTTTTCAGGAAAACCTGTATATGTCAAGTATATCAAAGGGGCTTTGGAACAGGAGTAGGTCATTCATTTTAGGAAACCTGTTTCACCGTTTTATTATTTTATCCCATTTTCTCACCTTTTTTTACTTCAAATCACTTAATATTTATACTTCCATTTCAAGCCTATCAATTTAGCGTAGGATTTTTATAATTTTGGGGGTGACCATTTTTTCTGCATTCATTTTGAAGTCTTTCAGCTTTCATTTAATTTCATGTGCTTTATAATGAAACCAGCATTTTAACAGGTTTCTTCTGTTCTTCCTTGCTTTTAGATTCTCTCTTGCTATAAAGTCCAACATCCTATTAGCCTTTTTGATATCTGCAAACTAGCGTTTAATATCCTATTTACTAACAGAAGCCAAGGGAGAACTGGAAAGGAATATAACAGCAGATGTAAAACAATAACACCAAAACATCGTTCAGTATTATATTATATTATTATAATAAGAAGATAGTCTGGAAAGACGTTAAAACTCTTGAAGACCTAAATAGTGTTGAAAATTAGTGCAAACAGAATATCGCAAACATATTGAACAGTTGTTTTAAAAAACTAAGGAGGACAGAGACAGAAGTTCAGATTCAGCTCAAAGGGCTACAAACCATTAAACTCTGAATTTTCAATGCCCTCAAACTCCAATTTAACACCATCTCAATTGCAAGGTGAGAGCGGAGTGAATACAACTTCTATTTACAAAAGGAAAAGAACAGAGGAGAGGTAGAGTTCAACTGTCCAATCATGTGATGGGATGACTATCTACATTTGAAACGATACTTGTAATAATAAAAAAAACCCTGTGGGAACTTTCCACATACTAACAGTAATGTTGCACATTTACAGTTGCGTAAAATTAACGGTCAATAATTTGGGGGGGATTTTAATAATCAATTAAACAGACTATCACATTCAGTACACTAGTGGTGTACGAACTGAAAAATAAATTATTGTTAGAATATCAGTGGCATCAACAGTTCAGAAACAGTATATTCTAATACGGTAGAAATAATTAATAACTTTACTTTGCATGTTAACATTTCTCAGTGTCAGGAGATGTTACATTTACAATGCGCAATGTATTAGCAATGCTTTGTTAAGTGCCTAACCTGAAGACAAGCTACTCCAGTGGCGACTGCTCCAATAATCAGAAGCTGACTCGACAGGATCTCTTCCAGTTTAGTTATACATCCACCCTGCAAGGAATAGCAATGCGTTCAGCATCATATCATTTTATTTTCAGTGCTACCTTTTCTACTGACATTGTGGTAAAGGTTCAAGTCTGCAAAAAAAAACTTCAAAACTGCTCTGAAGTGGAACCAGACAGTTTCGCAACACTGTTATATATATTTTATATATATATATAATATATATATGTATCCATGAATATATCCATAACTTTCTAAAATCAGGATACTTAGTTGGCAAAAGTTGGCAAAAGAAACCAGACACGTCAGAAAGTTAATTGGACGTAGGGAAACAGGAAGCTGTTCTCCAGCTTTAGTCTCCGCATAATTGCACATTATGATATATACTGCATCTTCCTTAATGTAACATCATCTTGAAATGTTCCCTTTCATTTTACCACTGATACTCCTGAGAGGGGGCGAGCCAGACAGTGTGGACAACAATAACAACAGCATGCAGTTATATATCACCCCTCACGTAGGGTAGCGTCCCAGAGTGTTTGACAGTGGCAGAACATGAAGCCAAGCCGGGGGAAGAGGAGGCGACTGGAGGCACGGACGAAGAGGAAAGTCTTCAGGCACGACCTAAAAATGCACTTTTTTTGTGTTAGTCAGAAATATCAAAGGGAAATCTGACTCTTATTTCAAAAGTTGCTTGGAAATATGCTTTGATACAGGAGACCAAACACATTTGCCACTGATAAGGTTAAGGATAATAGATCTTGCAATTGTATTTGATTTTAAACCCTAGGTTTTTCACTGTGCGGTGCATTATATCCACCTCCGCAATTCCTTATAGAAATGGACAGAATAGTTCTTGATGTAAAAAAAAAGCTTAGTGAAGCAGATTTAAATCAGAGAGAAATCTAATTTGTGGCTAACAGTGTGAAATTTTAGACTGCATTTGTCTATAATCAGACACTGACAACAAAAATGCTGATGTTTACATTCAGTTCATCAAAAAGCAACATTCAGCTGATGCTACCATATTTTCAGCTACATATTTTCCTTTGGATCAACAGCTAACATATGCAAAGTGATAGCGGAACTGTCATCAGCCCGTCAGCACGTGAAACAACACTGCCATGGTATGCACAGTAGCTGACGAGACCACAGGCATTCATGGCCTACAGAAGTTGGCTCTTCAGATGCAATAAATATCTGCCTTTTGAAAAATCCAAGCCTTGCCTCACATCTCTCTGATCACAGGTTTGAATCCCTGGAGGTGCCAGATTCATGGCACAATCGAGTGCAGTGCAGGTTTAACAGGAGTTTAACAGGTGGTTGCTTGGAGAAATGTCCCAATTGTATTAAAACTGACAACGCTATCACAAAGCTGCCTGATGACATAGCTCTCAAATTCTTTTCAGTGGAACTAGTTGTGTAACAGTCTCCAAACATCTCCCAGGTCAGCAAGCTTGGATTCCAATGGAAATTTTGAGCATCGGTTCCCAAACGAGAATCAAACAGACACCCAATGGTGGGTGCATATTTTTTCCTGAGGACCACTACATAGTCGTTCTAAAAGGAAACTGTGACTTTGAGAGATGACTGCAGCAGGTTATAATCCTCGAATTTACAGATCAGTAAGCACAGATTTCACGGCATGTCACTGACAACTCAGGACCACAACATTTTGTGGTCATGTTTCAAAGTGTGCTCCTGTGTGCGTGTCCTTCAGGATAATTGTTGAGAGCATTTTGATTCGCAAATGTATTTAAATTAAATTAGACAAACGGATGGAACCACAGAACATTTTCCTGGGTTGGTTCCCATTTACCCCAATTATATTAACACACAGTCCTGGGCTGGGTGGTTTAGACATATTAAGGCATATGGCAAAAAGGAAGCGTGGTGGGATTTAGATCTGCCAAGAAATAATAACAACAAATTACATTTGTATAGCGCCTTTCGTGTCACGACGTCCCAAGGCGATGGAATGGTGGAACTGGCTTGATGGGCTGTACGTCCTGTTCATCTTATGCTCCTATACTGCAAGAGCAGCTCTCAATATAAACGTACCGGAACTAGTGTTTCTGAGAGGCAGGTCTTCAAGCACTTCTAGATACAGCTATAGACAGCAAGCTAAATAGTGAGCTCAGATGTTAGCCAGCCAGCCCTGCAACTAGCATACTCTAGAACCCAGGCACTTAGTCAGAAGATTACAGTCACAACTCGCAACTTGGAAACTTTGTATACCTAAGTGTACAGATGTTGCTGAGCAGTGAGTTATTTGGATCTCGCCCAGTGACCCTGCGATGTAAACTGCTGAGCTCCCAGCACCAGAGACCTCAAGCTACTTCAGTGCCAGTTCCAGTTAAATTTGTTCCGAATTACCCTGCGAGCTAAATGTGGCATACATTTCTCATTCCCAGCAACTCGTGAATAATTGAATGCGCTGTTGTAGCATGACAGCGTAACAAACATTTTATATGAGGTTGTCACCTGCTGCGTTTGTAATTTCTTGCAAATACTTTGCAGCGTTTCGTGTACATAGATGGAAATTCAATTCGGTTTGTAGTGGTTGATAAGCAGCTCCTAATGAGAAATCACTACACTAAACACATTCCTTGGTCTCTCATCTCTCATTTACATTTTAAGATTTATTAAAATCACTGCAGGCACTTTCTGGTTTCATTTTACTCTACGAATACGCAATTTCAGTATAGTATATATTAAAAAGAATTAAAATGTCTCTTTAATGTCTTATGAAGCAACTGTATGAATTTCCACTGCTCTATACAATAATACCATACACTGCTACTCTGTTCTACTTGTGCCGCAGGATACTTAAGATAGAAATAGGTCTCAATTACCCAGGGCCTGCTGGCACCAAGATCTGTTCCCATTCATATTGTGAGCACCAAAGCACAAGTCATAACTGCACATGTCATTGTGTGCATTCATTATGCGAAGTGCTCTTCAGGTTTTGGCTTGCGATTCTTTTTTCTGGCTGGAGACCATCTCTGATTTCTGGAGAAGATATGTACAAGCTAGCAATGCAGCAAGTACCTCAGTCGCTCCCGAGCCAGGCAGGAACAAATAGTTGGTTGCCATATGTGTAGCGATGAGGATGGTTTGTTATGCAGTCCTGGCTGCTTATGGTGAATACTTAAACAGTTCTACATGAAAGGGGCTCATCTGATCCGTAATGGTTTACATGAGTGAAACCATTGGTTTGTTAAGATGCAACAGGAAAATTCACTTTAATTAATAGTGAGTGATACTAACAGGGGTGCACATTTCTGTTGCTTGATGTGACCATCTCCAGTTGTTGTCTGGGAGATGGTGTTGATAAAGGCTTGAGAATGCCCTGAAATAACCTCAAGAAACAGTCAGTGTGTAACAAAGAACAGAGAATGCAAAACACTGAATAACAGAAAAATATGGGTGCAAAATATATTGTCCTGAATCCTATCTTTTACTATGAAATTGGGCTACTAAATAATGTAAGGTGCCCAATATAACTTATTATTCAAATACTGGAGAAAATCAAAGGAGATTTCCAGATGCTTAAAGATTATATGCGACAACTATTTGTGGAAAAACACAAAATCATTGCATTGTTCAGCATCAGAAAAATATAAATGTCCATACACGATAACGAGAACCTACGCAGTAAAACATTATATCAGTTTCTTTTGCTCAGTAAAGCCATGTCTTAACACAACACATTTATCTCCAAGAATATCTGTTACAAACAGATGGTGTTGCCTTGGGGTGACCAGTTTTTATTTTAGTGATAAGTGAAGTCTACATATGATTCATTGAACAGAGAGAAATATATTGCAGCAGAAAAGACAAGCATCTGGGTAATTATCAACGAGCCATATTTATGAAGATTTCTTCAGGATAAAGTTACCCAAAGATACAACTAATGTACAAAATAAGAATAGAATAAGAAGTTGTCTTTTCTGCACAAACTAACTATCATATCAATGGGACCGTTGCAAGAGAAAATGACCGACAGAAATCAAGGTTAACAATTCAACCCCCACAGAAACAATCTGACCTCATTGCAAAGGAGTGTTGTGGGAAACAGAGCTGTCAAACTGTGTTCAATTGATGACTTATTCAAAAATTAAACATTGATCTCTGTGACTCCAAGCTCTGGATTATCAACAATGCGCAAAATATACCTAACCCTAAAATAATCCTGAAGACAAAGGCTTGGAGTGATAATCTTTTCCCCGTGTCTCCAGTGAAACTAGATGCAGTGCATAGAAATTGCAGCTTCAAAGACGTATGAAGTGTATGAAATACCACAGACCATTTATCGCTGAAATGTATCAATGTCTTTATGAAATGTTATATTCAAACTGATGAAAAATAAATGGTAAATTAATTACACCATCTGACATATTTATGATGCTCTCAGTATATTACAGGATCAATGGAAATCATATCCAAACATGAGCCACCCACTTCAGAAAGGGGAGGAATGTAGAAAAAAATGAAAGTCTGAATGCTTAGTAGTAACCCATCCCCGGGTAAATTAAACAACAATAGTAATAATAATAATAATAATCCTTGTATTTGATATAGCAGCTTATCATGTCGTCAAGACGTCTCAAAACTCTTCAAATATAAGTGATATAGCATTGTTTAGTCTATGAGCGCCTTGGGACATTCTCCCGACATGAAAGGTGCTACCCAAATGCAATTTGTTGTTGTTGTTTGTTAATTGACATCGTTCTAATTTGTAAACTGCATCGACTTACCTCTACCTTATAGATATTTGACGGGTGGTCCCTTTTACCACAGCCTTCAGTGAACGTTTTACAGCAGCTATCAGGTACCATTCTGAAACCTGACCCCGCGGAGAGAATGTATTTGCTGTGCTGCCAATCAGCTGAACTGTTGCTGCCACAACATTTGAACTGTAAGAGAGGGAGAGGAGTAGTGCTTAAAAAAAATCACTCCTTTCTATATCATTATTAATTTATATCATAAACAAAGTCTGGAGATGGACGAGAAAAGTGATGAAGAGATGCTGACTTTGTTCTCTTCACTCACCCTTCAAATATGGATGTACCTGACCTTGAATCTGCAATAAACTTAAAAAACAAAAGGATATTCATGAGGCTTACATAATTTGGGAAAAATTTGCATCTTGTGAGAAGTGCTCAAGCGATGGCACTTTAAATTCTAGTTAAAACGTAAAGACTCCCTGGCTGACTGAATCTATTGCTTAGCAACAACAGAGAACGAAATCAACAGTCTGCAAACACAACCCTTTGAAAAATTCTTTGCAAGTGGTGTGCAGGTCTTCTAGTGGGGTGTGAGTCACGGTTGTAAAAGTCAAATCTTTAAGTTTAAAATCTCATATGGGAAGATACTCTTGATGTATCAATTTTTCAGAATATTAGAAATATTTCACATAGTTTTAGATTTAGCCATCATAACGTCCCACAATATGTATGAAATCTTTTCCTAATAACCCTCATAGACTGGAAAACAATTTAACCGTCTTTATAAACACATTTGGTCACAATTAAACAACAAGAATAAGAATCAACTCCAAACTATGCAATTTATGCGCCCCCCCCCCCCCCCACCCCCCCACCCCATGATTCTCTTGTCTATCCAGTGAAGTATGTAAATTGCAGAGACAAGGAGATTCTCAATCATATTCAGAATGCACGTGTTGTATTCTCAGTCTGGTTTGGATATTCTTAAGCCCAGATATTCACTGTAAAACATGAAAATATTTTGTAATCTCACTAAACAAGAAGTTGAAAGTCATTACGGTGACCTTACTCCCAGTTTCTACAAATAAGAGATTAAAACACTGGTTTTAGGTAAACTGGCACGAGATGTGAACTGCTCAACAGTGCTGAGCATTAAGGAATAAAAGCGTAGGTAGATATATTTCATCTATTTATAAATGGTCTACTCTGATACTGTGAAATGAATTCACTGTGTATTTTGTGGGCAGGATGTGGCAGCCAATTGCGCACAACAGTGTCCCACAAAGAGTCGTGGAGTGAGTGACCAAAGAAAGCACATTTCATACATCTTGCTGAAGTTGGTTAACTGAATACGTGATGTCATCCTTTCCTGGCTGAGCGTAATTCTCGGTCATGGTTTTGTTCAGATGTTGCTTTAACTCTTCGCTGAGCTGTGCAAATACAAAGAGAACAAAGAGAACCTTGTTTTACTTGGCACATGTATAATCCGCAGAACCGGAACAGAACAATTTGATAAATAATGCCAAATCTACCCGAGAGCTCCCAGCCTCATGCTCCAGTTACTTTCTGTATACAGTAACAGGCGTTCTCAGTGCTTTGCTTTTAGGATTAGTGAGTACTTTCATGCAAGTTACCTAATGTTAGTCAATGTGTAAAACCATCCACGGTGTTCAAAGCCATGTGATTTGTCCAATTTCAAATAAACAATTAATAGGTATAATCAATAATATGGATACAGATGGTCTGATATGAAGAAAACCATAATCAAAAAGATAGTGTGAATCTCAATAGGGTCCAGTTCCTGATACCACCTGAAGGTAGGGCGTGTGGTAGGAATAGTGCAATTCATACTCACTCAGTAAAATAATAAAATGATAATAATAATCTGTACAAGTGTGGCAAGCGTCAATTGCACTAAAAGTGCTCTTTTAAGGTCTGCTCAAAGTCTTCGGGTAGATGACCAGGAAACTTTCAACAAACTGCTAATGTTCTTAAAGAGCTGGTCCAAATTTCTTCACGACCCAATGTGAGCCTCTCCTGTCATATCTCCTGTTAAAAGGCAGGGCATCTTACAGCTGACCAGTTTGAATCTGGTCACTAGGATATACTGTATGTGATTCACTCACATAATTACAATCAAGCTCCATGCTCAAGCTTTTCTGCTGGGATCAAAGGCCCAGCATTTATAAGGTTGCAAGTATAAATTCACAACCACACATCTGACACTATGTCGTGCAGCTTATTTGGCTTCCAGCACACTGGATCTTGCATCCTTGCCCACTTAAAATCTTAGGGATTCTTGCTTAAAGATATGCTAGTTATTTATTACTGTTCAAAAATGATCGTGAGGAATTAAACTTACCCGTTGATAATAAACATAAGCAAGGACGCCAGCTACCAACTCAATCAGGAAGATCAGTAATAGTAAGCAAAAATACTGGAAAGCAAAGAGAAATAATCATTCACTGAAGACGTACATCAAATAGAAAGGCAATTTTGCAATAATGATTGACTGTTTGATTTGTTAAAAATATTAAACCCCTATAATATACACCTATTACATTGCCAAGTTTATGCTTCACACTCCTTAATCTTGCATTTCTTCTTGACTCCATTTTTGGTGAAATCAAACAGGGCTACAAGTGTAGAATAAGTATTCAGTTGGAACTGTTTAAAAAAAAACATATTGCAAGGTTTCCATAAATATCTATATGTATATTACTTATTGAAATGCTAAGAACAAAGTGCAAGTCTAAATCCAACTGGAATTTCACTCCAACACGACACAAGGGGGTGAGGAGAAATCTGAGGAAGTCGTCTCAGGCTGTTCTGCTCCTCTAAATACCCTCTTCAATGTGACATTAATGGAGACCCAAAAGGAGATTCCTAGATGGGGGGGTGCGGGTTGGGGGGGGGGGTTAGTTACGTAAGGCAGGGAAGTTTCATAGAAAGAAGTAGGAAGAGAAATGTGTTTTTAAATGGTTAAGTACCCTTAACAACAAAAAATTGAGCATGCTATGCCATTTCCATACACTTACCACATGTAGAGAGAGTTTGTGTATCCATGCACATAATCGATTTAACACGAAAAACTGTTTGCATCATGAATGTGGGTTAATTGCTAATCCTCTGAGGAGCAGCTTAAGAGTCGGCTGAATTTCATGACACAGTAAAAGAATGGAAAAAATTCCTGCTTTCTCACCAGTTCCGTGCTTTCCTAGAATCATCAGCTCTGTAGCAGGTCCCAGGGCTGTCCTAAACGCCTAACCCATTCAATTCAACTGAACCAGAGCAAATCTGCCTCCTCACCAACAGTTGTGCTATCAACTGGAAAGGTGTTCCAGGTAATGTAGAAACGTTATGATTCCTCACTACAAATGAATAATCATTTTATACCTATGATTTATCCTCTTGACTAGAGCGAATATTTGAACAGAAATATTCCCTCTAATTTTCTTTTCTCTTCAAGAAAATCTAACAAGCTGTTTGTACATATCAGTTACGAATGTGTTATAACAACAACATTTGTATAGCGCCTTTCACGTTGGGAGGACGTCCCAAGACGTTTAGGGAATTAAATGTACTCAGGATCCCTGGATAGCCTCTCAAATCCTCAAGTCATTGTTAATATTTTTCAGAGCTCCATAAATCCAATGACTGAGGACGAGAAGATAGCTGATGTCATTTTCATTACAAATTAAGGTGTCAGATGGGAAATGGGATAAACAGTTTAAGATTGATAGTGCAAAAATACTCAAGAGCATTAAATAGAACAAATAAATACGGTTGTAAAGGATGAAAGGGTTAGACAGATTGGTTTTAGTAGCAATACACCATGTCTCATAGACCTCCTGGAAATCTTTACCATGACAACTAAATCAGTAAAACAAGGTAAATCTGCCTCCTCACCAACAGTTATGCCATCAAAGCAGCCCATGAATGGGCCATGGAAGCCACATACTTACCAAGAACAAATTCCATACCCACATCTCACCAGTTCTGGCCCAGGCTCCACTGGCTCCCCATCATCAACTTCAAGATGCTCACACTTGTGTTCAAATCCCTTCACTCTCTGGCACCTCCCCACCTCTCCGATCTCCTCACTCCCCAATCTACCACCTGCTGCCTCCGCTCAACTGGCACCGGCCTCCTGCTCGTCCCTCGCACCCTCCGCCCCACCATCGGCAGTTGTGCTTTCAGCAACTACGCCCCAAAACCTTGGAACACTCTTCCCTCAATCCCTCCTCCTTGTCCCTCTCTCCCCCTTTTCAAGACCCACCTTAAAACCTTCCTTTTCAACCGTGTTTACGGTCACCTTCCCCCTCCCCCCAGCTCGGAGTCAAGCTCTGAGACATTACCCTGCGTGGAGGGCGCTATATAAGTGCAAGTTATTTTTGTAAATCTATTGGTTTTCAGCAGGTATTCTACAGTTGGAGGCTCTTAAAGAAAATGAAGATGGAATTAATGGCAAAATAGTTGGTCTGAAACGGGCCTTGGTGATTAAAAAAAGAACATTAGGTGAATAATGTAGTAGAGTTTCTGCACAGTTATTTCTGGATCTCCTGCTTCATAAACAATTCAGAAATCATGAGGAACAGGGCAATGCTCTTGTCATATTACAACATTTGCTTGACACTGAGATATGTAACCAGGTGACTACTGTAGAGAGAGAGGATAATAGCATTCAAGGGACTTTGGAGGTGATGTGGAGGTGTTGCGGATTGTCAAATGGAATTTAATATCGATAAATGAAGTCATCCAAACAGGGAAAGAAACGTGCAATCCTCATGGTGCATTGGGTCCACACCCTGTGCTTTCATTTCTGGGATTTGTGTTCACATTCAGCTCACACTGAAGGAATGAAAAATTTCCTTTATCTGATGGTTAACAAAGCTGTGGGTAAGTGAGGTTGGTAAATCTCAACCAAGTTCCCCGAAATTGGCCCATCAACATAAAACTGCTTAGGGCTATATTTAGGATGTTTAAAAAAAAGGACATTCTCCCAATGTGAAAGGCGCCATACAAATATAATTTGTTGTTGTTCTGGGTGATTAAGTGTGAGGAGTGGAATTCAATGGAATTTATGCTGTCTTCATTCTGATTTTTACTGCCAATTTGATATGCTGCAAAATTAATGATTTAACTCATATGTTAAGGGCACAAATATATTATTGCTGTTGGCTTACTGGAGGTGGAAAGGAAGCTGTACTATAAAGGAAGACATCAGCTGATATCTTTGCATTCACTGATATAAGTTGCCAATATGGAGAAACAAGATAACTAAAATGCAAATGAATCATACATTCAAACTCCCCCAAAGAGTCTCTCCAGACCAAAAGTTGAAGAATTGTTTCATTCTTTAATTGAAAAGGTTAAGACAATCTCCCAGAAGAAATTAATCTTCAATACAGTCATTTCCGTGATTTTCAATGCCATTGGTTTGAGGTTTTTCTTTTTCAAAGGTGATAGTCAAACTTGCTGCCAGGTTTTATGAATACAGTACAATAATTTAATGGCTAATGCATTTATAATAACTAATCTTAAAAACAGTGATTAGATTGCCTCGCTTCATTATCTTGTCACTTGCTCTCTCTAACAAGCGCATCTGCTTTCACTAAATCACAAAAGCCAAGCCACAGAAGCAATTGCAGTAATTGGGTTTTAACAACTGCAGCACGAGCTGTCAATATTCACTGAAATTAAAATAAGTATTTTTAATTTTAAAAATGTAATTAAATTTAATTTGATTTTAAAAATACTAAGCAAGTATTATAGAGGCAAGTATAATTTTTTTTAAAAAAACTAACATAACTTATCAATTAAAGTTGGTATTTTACATTAATTAGAATTAAACTAGCCATGAGTCAAGATACCAGTCTCACTTTTACTGCAATTTTTTGTTTTTGTTGATACTGCATTTTAAACTTTTAAGGGGTGCATATTTCAACAGTAGCACTACAAGCAATTCATAACGTGAAGCTATGAATCACAGCAATGTCATCAAATAATAATAATAATCCTTGCATTTGATATAGCGTGTTATCATGTCTTCGAGCGGTTTCAAAGCGCTTCACAGAACATACTGTAAAGTGAATTGACTGTATATTTTGTGGGCAAATCTTTAATAGTTATTGCTAGGAACTGCTCCAAGACACTGCCCCATGTAAAAGGCCCTATATCGATGCGAGTTGTTGTTGAAACATATAAAGGTGCCGATTCATTGAGTCTATTCAAAGCACTGTCACTCTAATACACATGGAAACAGACATGAAATTGGAAATTATACAACTGTTCATCTAATATCTCCAGCGGAAAAATACTTGATACTCTTGCACAGGATTTAAAAATCACAAAAGGTGATAAGGGAGTAAGCCAACAATAATTCAGAATCAAACATTTGTGCCTCATAAATCTGATGGAATTCTTTGAGGAGGCAATGAAACCAGGGCACGACAAGTACCAGAATATAATTTATTTTATTTTCACAGCGAATTCATAACAATCCACGTGTTACGACTTTTGGAGTAGGTTAAAAAGTGAATGCAGATCAGTCAGCTTGATGAAAATGCAGCTTGGAAACAGGACAGCGAGTATAAATAGAAAAAGCTCCTTTTAGACTCGGCATTTTGCAGAGTTCTGCAAAGGGTTTGTTTTTCGTCTCTCCATTGTTCACACATCTCATAAATCACTTTGAGGAGAGCCCTTTGTCGGATATTATAAACTTTGAGATAACAACTATTTGGATCAATGAATATAAAGATGATTGAATGAATATAAAGCGATCTAAAATTAAGTAACAGCTGGATTGTAAATGCACTTGACTGGAAGAAAAAGCATATTTTAAGAGCAAAAGGCAAATGCACACGGTATTAAAGAAAGGGTGTTCACTCACGAAGATTGGGGAAGAAAAAAGATTTGGCCAGTTGCTTGCTGTTCATTCACTTAGTTTCCACTCAGTGTGAAACTGTTCTCAAAAAACTAAATACTCGATTACTTAATGTCCAGGAATTTGATTGAAAGCCAAAATGTTATTCGTCCACAAAATACAGTATATTCTGTGAAGCGCTTTAAGACATCCTCTTGACATTATCAGATATAAGGATTTTTGTAATCCTATCCCTTTACTGATGATGTGTGAGTTCACATATAGAACTGTGTATCCTACTTTCAAAAAGAAATAGATGTTGGAGAGGGTTTGTGTTGTTTTTTTCTTGATGGACTTGAAACCTTTTGTCTGGTAATGGAGTGTGAACTTTATCCGTGGTGGGAAGTGCCTCGTTTACCTAATCCCAGAGAGCGCAGAAGTTGGCAAAGGCCCAAACTGTAGACTCCAGAATGCGTGTTGGGATACTGCCGGATTTTAAAACCAGTTAAATCTACACAGTTTACTTCACTGGCAATCTTCCTGCTGCTTGTCTGTCATCAACAGGGCCTTGAGAATCTTGCAGACATGTTACCTTGAGGCCAATTCAGCCACAAAGTGATCCCTCTCAACTGCCCCCCTCCCACCCATTCCCCCAACCCCACCCCCACCCCTGCGTAACAGAAAAGAGATGATCCTCAGACTCCAGGTTCAAAATTACTAAGTGATATGAAAAGAGCTTAATGTGTTTATTTGGTAAAGACACAGGAACGTTAAAACATTGAGAGGAGAGCAGACTTAGGGAGACGTAAACAGTTAGATTTAAACTGTGCTTTTGGCATCCACAGTCCTCATGTGCTTCCCCCACCCACCCCCCATAATTATCATTTACTACAAACAAGCAGTTCACAGTCTTGGTTTATGTTTGATATTTTATACACATTAGTTTTTCATTAAAGTCTGTTTAATGCTAACGCCTTTCATCACTTCAAGTTGCCATGATACCACTTCATGGGAATGAATTACTGTATAATTTAGCAAACCTCACTTCACGCCAGAATTTCGTCAACTTTTGATATTTTTGGCTGACCGGTAACAAGTGAATAACTTGTGATGATTTAAACAGAAGCAAAACAGTGAAGACAAATATATTGCCACAATGTATTATCCTTTATACCAGTACGTCGCATTTCTCATTCTCCCAATATTCTACAAAGCCATTTATATTAATTTCTCATCATGAATAAACAGATACTATAGTAAGGAAGGATAATTAATGACAGTATCAGATACATTTTGTGAGCTCACTATAAATTCTGCACTGTCTAATTAGTTCATGGTTGGGTGATAATTTTAAGGATTCAAAGCCTTATTTGATACAAGCACAAAAAAGTAATTCATGTGTACAGTATCTTTGCTTGATATATTCAGACTGAAGAGACACAGAGAGCTGGCTCATTGCTCAACATGTCCAAAGGGTGTCATGCAATAACAAGCAAAGTAAACAGAATGCTATAAGTATTCTGGTCACACCGCACCCAGAGTACTGGGTCCAGTTCTCGCTGCTGTGACTTAAGGTGGCTGCCCAAACTTTATAATAAAGAATACAGTAAAACTAATCCCTATTGCATTATTTTAAGGTGAGGGGAATGCAGTACAATCCATATAATAATAATAATCCTTTCATTCCCCTTTCAACAACAACAATTTGCATTTATATAACGCCCTCCACTCCGGGTGGTGTCCCAGAGCGCTTAACAATGGCGGAGGCCGATGCCAAGCCAGGGGAAGGGGGAAGGTGACTACAGGCACAGTCGAAGAGGAAGGTCTTCAGGTGCAACCTGAAAATGGGGAAAGAGGGGGCAAGGTGAAAGGATTGAGGGAAGGAATTCCATAGCTTCGGGGCATAGTGGATGAAGGTATGGCCGCCGATGGTGGAGCGGAGGATTCGAGGGACAAGGAGGTCGGAGCCAGTAAAGCGGAGTCAGTGGGTAGTGCTGTGAGGAGAGAGGAGGTTGGAGAGATAGGGGAGTGCCAAGGCGTGGAGGGATTTAAACACTAGAGTGAAGATCTTGAAGTTGATCGGCTCTGTGACAAAGGAGTTTGGCAAGGCCTGGGATAAACTGGGTGTGGGTTTTGGACGAGCTGAATTTTGTGCATATTGGAGGAGGGGAGTCCGGCGAGGAGGGCATTTGCGTAGTCCAGCTGAGAGGTGACAAAGGCGTGGACAAGTCTTTAGGCAGTTTGCAGCTTTCATTTGAAATAGATCATTATCATGCAGTTGAGAAGTCTCAACGCGCTTCACAGAATATTCCATAAAGTGAATTGATTGTATAATTTGTGGGCAAAACGATATAGCAGCTACACAATTCTTAAAAGGAGTCTAGCATACAGTATGGAGAAATTTAACTCCAGTCAAACAACGAGGAAGACTTTATTTATGGTAACAAAATCTAAGATTCTTCATATTTACAAACACGTCAAAATTGCTGCAACATATTCTGGAACATAACAAGGTAGTGTACGAATGAAATTCACCCACTGACAATGTCTGGAAATCCTTCAAATAGGCCACAGCTACAGATAAGTTGGTGAACAGAATACAAAATGCTTCACTTCGGTTTGATCGATGGCCTGTCAAGTTTTACTCCAAAGATGAGCTAAGATTGTCCATCGTGGCAATTGGAAGCACGTCCTCTATGAGTGTAATCTGACAGGCTGTCTGCTTTGATTAGTAGTGCAGTGTTGCATGACAATCGGAGATAATGTGGCCAATTTGTCTTGTATTGCAATAGTTAAGAAAGCAATTCTATCTTAAATGCTTTCCGCTGTCATTGTTAAAACAGTCACATTTTATGCTCCTTGATCACTTGGCCAACCTTTAGCATTGCATGGAAGAATGTGAAGTTTCATTACAGATTCAATGACATTCAAAAATAATTGAGTTGGTTATGAAACGTCGATTTTTTTTTAATACCACATTTTCAAACTGGGGATTGAGTAGCACCACAATTTAGTCAGAAGGTTAGGTATGCTTAAAGCACTTGTCTGTTTCTTTACACACACTTGACACACTTTCAGTTGCATTCTTAAAATACATGTTGATAGCCAGGGATGACTATAGGTGATCAAATAATCTTCAAATAACGTATTATTTTTAGATGCACGCACAAGCCTTTGACTTTCGAAACTGGATTTAGACTTTATACATCAGCTTTCAGAAAGGCTTTTTAGAAAACTACAACCGTAGCCTATTGTATAATCAATCATCTTTCTGTAGATGCCCAACAATATTCTCAAGATACTGTATATATAAGCACTGCACTTAAAACTAGTTATTAATAAATAAAACTAAATCATTTTCGAATGCAACCCTATGTCTGCTAAACCAACCACAAAATAATTGAAATATGAATGTGTGAATGCTTATACACTCGCACTGACAGCTCCATTTTGTTTCAACTCAGTACAGTATTTTGATGCTTGTGGATTATTAATAGACACTTTGAAATTGAGCGTTCGCAGAGGGACTGAGGGACAATATCTGTGCAATCCCTCGTGTCAGACAAGGCAAATAATGATCACTCTATCTCACAGACTTTGGAAGCGTCTTGTGCACTGAATAACAAATCTATGACTCGTGATTAAGTGAAACTGTGCCCTTTAACATATTAGGCCGTCAAGAGAAAGGTGTGTTAAAGAGAGCGTATACTAGAACACAGATTAAAAAGATTACAAATGTAAAAAAAGGTCTCACTCTAGGAGGATTTGTGAGCACAAACCCATTCTATTTGCTTCTAATCTCTGTATAGTGAAGGATACATATATATTTGATAATGATTCGTGCTGCAGTTTTTTACATGGTGATCTGTTCACAGTCCAATAAGACTTGCTGTTATTCTCTCTTTCTCACCTCTTTGTGGTGAGTTGCAGACAACAACAACAAGATTATACTTGTATAGCGCCTTTCACATCGGGAGGACGTCCCAAGGCGCTGATACAGTGGCAAAGACACAGCAGAACATTGTTTGACCTAACTTTCAGTCAAGTAATGCTATGTGGGACGGGAAGATTTTAGTGAAGAAAACGGAGAAAATTTAAAAATTTACTGAAGCAAAAAAGATAACGCTGACAGTGGATGGACACAGCACTTTGAGATGAATCCTACATCTTTTGATTGGAGCAGGGGGAGAAATTAAAATGAATGTTATTTCCCCCTTCCTATTTCCTTTCAAAGCAGAATATCAGCATTAAAATGTTTGAAACATTAATAGTACCAAACATGCACTCGAGCTTTGGTTTGACTTGCCACAAAAAAAGCTTTGGCATCAATCTATTGTTCACAGCTTTGAAATTAGACGAGCTTTGAAAAACTTGCAGAGGATAAGAATTAAACTACAACCCCATGAATCACTTTCTACCTAGGGAACTCTATCAAGTCCTACTATACTCAGAAGCTCATTTGTCAGGCTTCTGTAGCGCATTGCCAGCCTGACGGCTTAGTTTATCTATGAAAGCAAAGACCTGCTTTCCAAAGCTTTGCTCTTATTCATGCATAGTACTGCAAAAAAATCTTCATGACATATCTGGGTGCTTCAGGTGTTCAAATAATCTCTCTAGTATTATTTTTAGATACACGGCGCAAACCTTTGACTTTCAAAACTAGATTCAGAATTTATATACCAGCTTCACAAAAAGCCTTTTTTTAATAAAAGAAAAGACACTGATGAATTCCTGAGCCCATTGCTTCATCACAGGCACAACCTCAGAGCCAGCTGATTGCCCGTTGAAGTGTGTTGGTTGCAGTGTTTATTTAATTGAACTCAGAATGATGAAGGAGGGCAATGGACCACAGGGAATTGATCCATCTCCTCCCAGATCCCAATCCCATCCCAACCTGCTGCTCCCAGATCCTGTTCCCTATTATTCCCAGCTCCAGTCCAACCCCACATTTCTGGATCCCAAAATAGCTGCAATAATTGGAAATAATAATATTAATAATCCTTGCATTTGATACAGTGCCTTATCACATCTTTGAGACGTCTCAAAAGAGCTTCACAGAATATACTGCAAAGTGAATTGACAGTATATTTTGTGGGCGAAATAAGTAAAATAATTGCAGAAGATGGCATGGGTTTTGACTTTCTGTTCACAACAAATTTACTTCTCACTCTTGCGTTCACTGTTAATTAACGTGCAATGGGATACCTGCATTTCATCATCTAAATGCAAAAGTTTGATTAAAAGACAGAAATATTGAACAAGATATCCCACAGAGAGTATTGCATGTAGTTTCTTTGAAAACAAAGGCAACAAGGCTCAAAGGTTAATTGTTTAGTAGATTGTTCAGTTTATCTTCAAATTGGTTTCCTTATTTGCCCGGTGCTTAATTGCAAAATATCCAGTACTTACTGTGGAGAGACAGCCCTTTTGCTCCCGAACAACAGCACTGCAACCCAAGAAGCCGGTAATCATCACAAGGCCGCCAGCAAAGATAAGAATGTAAGCGGAGACGGCAAACGTGCTGGAAGCAAGTAAGCTCAAGTAGTCTCTTTTCTCAATCAGTGTCCAAATTCCTACTCCCATCACTCCACCACCTCCCACCTAGAGTCACAGAAAAATACAGGCGTTACACAAACTACCCAAGGTAATAATGCAGATACATTATTGCATAACAAGCAAGTAACATGTTTAAATATGAAGGTTGTGTTGGAACAAAAGTGAATTTATACAACATTTCTGGTGCAAATTTCGACGTGCGAAACTTTGGTGGCTGAATTATGAATTGTACCAGTTAGATTCCAAGCAAATACAGAATTAAAGTCAAAAATGAATTTCTTGGTTAATTCAAAATGTTTATTTTTCCTAGTTTTGAAAAATTCTTCAATTTTCAGTTCAGATTTATGATCCAAATTGATGTAGTCAGAAAGATGATCCCCAACAAGCTATGTAACGTTGCTGTCTACTATTAGTTCTCTTTATTAAGGGATTCCATCTGGTTCAATCCTTTCAAATATCATCAGTCCCAGAAATAAGCCCATTTATAACAGAAATGAGAAATAGAGTGCTGTAATACTTATTCACATCTTCCATTACACTAATTTTCCACAGGCTGTGAGCTATTTCATTTCTATGCAACTGATATTTTACAGCTCAACCACAATGTAGGCTTTAAATACCATAGCACCTGGCACGGCAGTGTATATATTGAATATACTTGTTCTTTCCATTGATTTAATCAACACGGTTACAATCAACCTATAATATAACCTGTAAACAAATGATTCAAAATGTGTATGACATTTTTGTGATTAATACTTGATTTCCTCCCATCTTTCTCTATGAGCTTTTGCCTGTAAGCAGCAACTTTCTTTAAGCTCTTAATCAGAGTAGACAGACAACCTGCAATGTTAATTTCCACCTTGGAAAATATTATTAAACTTGGAGGCATGTACCATGTACCAAACATGCCAAAAATAGGATTTCCTCAGACACAGTCAAGTTTGACAATTTTCCAGATTACGAAAACACTCATGTCTCTCTGACTTTTCCACATTTCTTGGAGACTATAATAATAATCGCTCCATTTGATACAGCACCTTCTCACGTCTTCGAGACGTCTCAAAGCTCTTCACAGAATATACTGTAAAGTGAATTTACTGTGTGTTTTGTGGGCGAAACTGATATGATATTGAGCCAGTACACTTAATTTGATTCACTCCGTTTGTAAATATAAACTGAATGCAACAGGTTAAGTGGTCGGCCACTGGGACATCAGTGTACGCATGACACTTTGGCATTATGGTGAGCTAAATACACAACCTTATGAATATTCAGGAAAGCAAATCACTTAAAAAAAAGTATTCAAAAATAATGTAGGTCATCAATAAGAATATCTCTTCCAGCCAAAATCAGAGATAATAGAGATGCTACATTGCAGCATGTCAGACCGTGGCTTAATAAAGCATTGCTCTCACATTAATTTGCTATGCAACTCACACAGATGCAAACCCTCATTGTTTGGGGTTTCTAGAAATCATTTTTTCTTGTTAATTTTATTCTAGCATGCTTTTTCCTTCTTCCCCCACCCCTCCTCGTGCTCACTGTATTTCTGCAGGGAATAAGCAGCTAGTACACTATTAATCTTAGGAGAAGTCAAATCAAAATTTGACATACATCTGAACAAAATCAACTATTTAAAATGTCTAGTGGTAGAAATCTACAACTGTTATACTTTGTTATGTTTGCTGATGCTGTCACTGCGGTAAATTATATATCACCTTGAAACGTCAACTGTATTCCCTTTGTCACGACAACTTTCTATATGCTGCTGCTAAGCATTTAAAGATAAACAATATTTACTTTGGTAATAAAAAAGGTATTATATGCACTGTGTGTTATATGAATGTCCACAGAAGGTACCTGCTGATAGTTTAGATCAGAGTAGTCCAACCTTTTGGCAGCTGAGGGCCGAATGGCCCATTTGGGAAATGTCCTCGGGCTACACAAGCAATATTTTCGCATTTCCCTTCCAGAAACATGACAGCATGAGGGGAGCAGGTGGGTCAGATGAAATGGATGGGTGAGAGGGTGGGGTGGGGGGGGGGAGATGTAATCGGACTTGGAGCTGCATCTGACCCCCGGGCAGCCAGTTGGACCACTTTAGGTCAGAAGATTAAAAAATGTTAACAAATGTGTTTTCCATCAATGTATAACACACTGAAAATAAACCAATTGTTGAGCCCAAATTTCTAATGGTCTGTCCACATGAACAAAACGACTAGGTTTGAAGGATTAGGGGGTGCAACACCAAGACTAAATCAAGGAGAAATGGACAAGTTAGAGCTTCTCGCTCTGAAGATCAGATGATTGAGTGGAGACCTGAACTGCATTTATCTACCTACGAAAATATAGTTATTACATTTTACAGTAAAACCCTGTCAAATTTGAGACATCCTCCCAACGTAAAATACACTATATCAATTACAAGGATTATAAAAGTGGGGCGAGGGGAGAAGAGAATGGGAAGAAAAATGATTTGTTTGCACATACCTTTGACATCTATAGTCCTCTGGTTGACTAAAACATTGTGGTGTCTGGTTAGTTTTCTGGCATGAACAGACAGCAACATAAATACACTGATTAATGTATTTTGATGGATCACAAGCCCTGTGAATAACCTTTCAGTGGCAATCAACAGAGCTAAATGAAAACATCTGGGGTTGAAAAATTCACATGTCAACAAGCAAAGCAAAAACAAATTTCTCACAGAATTCATTAAATACAGTTCATTCCTATGCACAATAACAAGTTACTTACCCAAAAGAAGAAGTTAAATACAAATAGCAAATACTTCAAACAGACAGTCATGCAGTCTTCAGAATCTTCCTTATACATTCTTGTCATCTTCACTCACTCACTGCGAGTTAGACTGAAAAGAATATCACAATATCATTAAAACTGCACCAAGAAAATGTCTTCATTATACAACTGATTTGTCCTGTTTAAGTAAACAATACATCACAGAAATTAGGGCTGTCTTCTGGAGCTATTTTGAGCACAGTATCACCATAGCTTCCTTAAGAATAATTTTGCTTCTCTCTGTAAGATTAGCGTAGTAATAGTGACAGGAGGGGAAATTAGATTTTGCTTGTATGGAAATTCTGTGCACTTAAAATAGAAGCTGCAAGATTCATGCTGGTGCTACAGATGGAAATAGAGATGTAACCTTATGATCAGCAGCTTTAGCATTTGGAACTGTAAAAGTTTAGTGCACTTGTCTTGGCTCTCTGCCAACATGTTGTACATTGTATAAAAAGAAGCCAACTTTGTGAAGAGGCTACTCTTTTTTTTATCAATTTCTTGGTGCCTGGAATGTGCATTTACTTTGGGCGGGGGAATGCTTTGAAGGATCATGCAAAACAAACAGAGTCTACGCTGCAACCGCTTTATAAGTAAATTTGCACTGTAGGGAAGCACGTTATAATGGGAAGCCATTGTGTTTAACCAGAGGGTAATTAACAATTGGAAAAGGATACCAAGGAAGAGTGGTGAGGCCAGGTTGCTGGACTCATTTCAGAAACAACTCGATGCTGTAACAGGAGAATAATAGGGGAGGTTAGGAGGATAAGACAATACGAGGATCAAGTGGGCCAAAGGACCCCCTCCCAATCCAAACCTCTCGTGTGATTTTATGGTGCTAGGTTGGGGAGGGTGGAAATTGAAGGCAAGGTTGAATCTGCCCTCACCTACCTACCCTACAACTTACTTATACAGTACATTAAGTACTACAAAAAAGCTTCAAAACTATTGAGGGCACAGAGCATTTGAGTTTAGTTCTACACGGCCTCAGCGTGGGGCTGCACTGTATGTTAAGACTTGCACAGAAGCAGCCACAGCCAGAATCCAGTGTTGTACATCAAAGAAACCACATGATTGAATGTTTATACTTGGCTGATCACAATGGTTGGCTGGAGCCATGCGGGTTCACAGCTACAAAATTAATTACAACATCAGGCGGCTTTGAAGCTAATAATATTTACTGTTTAGCTGCAATCTATTTTGGAATGGATTGCTGGTACAACGACTGTGTGGGACTGTCTTGATGTTGTCAGATGAAATTAGTAGGTCATGCCCTTCAAAATCAATGGAAACTTGGTGAGTTATCTATTGGCTCTGAGACTGGGAACAATGAAGGGGAATTTGGTTCCAAGGATTGTATTTCACTGACTCTGGGGCAATTCAGCATTCTACCTATTAGCTCCTGAAACCAACAGAAGCTTAAATTGGCTCCATAATTGCCAGTTTAAAACATCTAACAGGAGCAAGACATTCCAGAGAACAAAATGCTGGGCAGTGCGTTCGGGTGAAAAGATTTATCAGGATTGAAACCGTACTGGTAAAAACATATTGACTATATTTAATCAGTGTATAATTAATGCAGGAATACTTGAATCAATCACTGGTTAGAAAACAAAAGGCAGAAAATTCACCATCACCGAAAATCAATTTTTATCAGCGGAACATGTTTTTGAATGTATAAAATGTTTTTAAATAAAGGAAATACAGTCACAATAATACTTAGGAAGGAAGGCTTACTTAACCTTGTGTTTAATTGGTGGGTGTGCATGACATTTCATAGATGTACAGCATTGCATATTTTTAAGAATAATTCCTGTTGCAATTTATTACTTGATAGATATCTAAGATCATTGTGAACAACTTAGAATTTATATCCAAAATGTTGCATTCTGCTACTAACTGCTACTAAGGAAATGCTTCAACTGAAATAGAAGCATTTGGTAGTATGCTGTTTCTATTTCAAACTGCAAGTTTCCGATAGAATGAAATGTATCGTAAGTTCCGTCTTTTTAAAGTGTTGTTATAAATATACAGTCAAGTTATAACCAGGTTTATTTGGGTCACCGCACAGAAACTGATCACCATGCTTAAGTCTCCAAATCAAACTACCGTGAGTTGCAGAAACACGATTTCCATTTGTCTGCCATGTATCTCCAGAGGGATACACCCCGTTTGCAAAATCCCAGAAAATATAAAGCACAGATTGGCATCATCCAAAGGTCGGAGAACCCCCAGAGTGTGTGTTATATATAATAATAATCCTTGCATTTGATATGGTGCCTATCACGTTATCAAGACATCTCAAAGGCCTCACAGAATATACTGTAAAGTGGATTGACCGTATATTTTGTGGATGAAATGCGGCAGCCAATTTCGCACAGCAGTTTCTCACAAACAGTCGTGTGGATTGAGTGACCAAATTATTATTATTTTTTTTGGGGGGGCTGAGGGAGGGACTATTACCCATGGAAAGCAATCCGCCAATTGACTAACAACCGGGTTCTGATTTGCTGGTAGGTAAACAGAGGGGTGTGGAGTAAGGAAACCTGCCAAAGGTTTCACCCTGTCTGGAAATCAAATGCAGGTCCTCTTGCTCCTCACGCTAACTACTATGCTACGGGACTCCATAACATCGTGTGTTGGGGGTACTGCTGCAGTTGAATCAGCTAAAGTTGCACAGCCTACAGCCTACCAGATAATCTTCACATTGCACCACCCTATCCAATAGGGCATTGGCTTGCAGGGCTAATGAGCCAAATGAGAAGAGTTCCTGTCCCCAGTGATCAGCATATTTCTCCAAGCCCTCTAATAAGACAGGTGAGCTCGTCTGTCAACAGTGCATTTGAGTTCTGTGAAGCTCCCTGACTCAGGATCCAGACTACTTTTGTAGGTGATAATTCCTTCAAAATAAATAAAAATAATTTGGTCACTCAATCCACGACTGTTTGTGGGACACTGCTGTGTGCAATTGTCTGCTGCGTTTCGCCCACAAAATATAGTCAATTCACTTTCCAGTGCATCCTGTGAAGCGCTTTCAGACATTTCGGAGACGTGATAAGGCGGTATATCAAATGCAAGGATTATTATTACTGAGATGCCACAGAGGATTCCAATTGTCAAGCATGTCAGCTTTAAGCTAACATAGTTAAGTCTAATTGCTTAGAAGCTGCATAACTGTAGTTGAATTCTTTTAAACTAAAAAGTAGTTGATGCTGGGTGGACAAGCTCATTAAAACGTAACAACAAACTGCTTCGGAATAACTATGGAGGTTATAGAGATAAGATGCAGTCTGAGATAAACCAAACACCCAAGGGAGTATTACTGGTTTCATAGGGGAAGGAATTTAAATAGTGTAAACATGTGGATAGATGAATATTATAGTTTTTTTCTTGATTTCCTTTGAGGATCAGTGAGTTTATATTCTACCACAGTACTTCACCTCCAAATTCAGTTTTAAAAAAATGTTAATGGATCTCTAGAGAAATAAATGCAATTTGTGACAACAAAAAATCATTAAAGCATAGCCCTAATTCTAGTTTATTCACTTATAGCTTAAGGATGGATGCTTCTAATAGTGATTTTGAAGACTAATTTCCAGTGTGTACCCATTTTTCAACATATTTGAAACATACTGTTGTTTTATTATGTTGAGGTAAACATCATAAATCAAATTTAACAGAGTATTACATTTGAGGTCACAGCTGAGATTTTTGTTGTGCTTATTAATGGACATTCTTTCATCAGTTCAAGGCTACAAACCGAGTTGTCTTCTCTACTCTCCTCACTGCAATGAACGTTGACAAATACGTAGGTGATCACTAAACAAACTGCACAGAATTGGAAAGGGTGCCTTTCTGTTTGTAAGTAATCCTAATTGTAAGCACAATTGTAATTATAGAACATCAGGGTGGTTGGCACATCATAAGCTCTCCTATATACTACACTGAAGGCAGATGGTCTTCGAATTGGTGATGGGGTAAAGGTTTGGGACGATATTTGCTGGAAGGTTGTCTGGACTCCAGGTTCATGAACACATTTTCCTATATCCAGGGCTTGACATCCACCTCAACTGGTATATAGAGAGCAAATCAACTGCTCAAGTTCTGCACTTCCAAGAAGTTTCTGAGGTGGAACCATTGCTCAAGGAGCAACTTTTGAGGAGCAGATTGGTCACTGGAACACAAATTCTTCCCACTCAGCTTCTGCTAACCCTGCAAGCCAATGTCTTACTGGGAAGACTGTCCGAGCTGGACAAGCACCTGGAAGCTTCTAAGGCAGTGTTCTCAATGGTAGTTTTGCTGGTTAAATTCCAGGAGCTGGTTAAATTCCATCGCGCACTCTGGAGTCGCCAATTCTTGGCTCTCACCAACATGAACTCATACTCTCCAGAATTAGATAATTGAGTTGTATCCCTCCAGGGAGAGAGGGCACTTTCCATTTCAGATACAGGGTAATTCCTATTCCTGTAGAGTCCTGTAGCTCAGTGATTAGAGCACTGGCTTTGCAAGTGAGAGACCTGAGTTCAATTCCAGGCAGAGGGTGAAACCTTGGGCAAATTTCCTCACTCCACACAGAGCCTAATAATAATCCCTCCAAAAAACAAAACAATTATAAATTGGTCATTTTCAATCTACGACTGTTTGTGGGACACTGCTGTGCGCAATTGGCTGCCGCGTTCGCCCACAAATATGCAGTCAATTCACTTTACAGTGTGTTCTGTGAAGCGCTTTGGGACGTCTAGAAGACGTGAAAAGCGCTATATCAAATGCAAGGATTATTATTATTATTCTCAATCTGATTGGACAGTCTTAAGCATTGCGATGGATTTCCACATCTGTCAGACACCAGGCAATGAAAACAATGATAATCCCAGGGCTCCACATTGAGATTCGTAGTACAGACTGATACTCCAGTGCAATATCAGGAGCTGTAAAACGTTAAACCAAGATTCTTTTTGGGTGGATATTAAAAGATCCCATGAGACTATTTGAGAAGAGAAGGGAGTTTTTTCCATTGACCTGGCCACCAATCTTCCAGATAAATTGATCTTTCACTCCTTGGCATTTCTGTCCTCAAACTGGTTGCCATGTTTCTACAACTGCAGTCACTTGACAGCAATTAACGGTGAAGCACTTTAAGTTTTATAAACGCTGTATCAAAATGGAATAATTATTATTTTGCTAAATTATTCAAAATCATTTTGTAACCCATCTCCATATAATAACTACATTTACAAGCTAAAGTTCAACATCCAATAATCCCTCCAAAACCAAAAACAATAATAAATTGGTCATTTTCAATCCACGACTGTTTGTGGGACATTGCTGTGCGCAATTGGCTGCCGCGTTCGCCCACAAATATACAGTCAATTCACTTTACAGTGTGTTCTGTGAAGCGCTTTGGGACGTCCTCCCGACGTGAAAAGTGCTATATCAAATGCAAGGATTATTATTATTATTATTATCCAAGCAAGTTCAAGGTTTTTTGACAACTACGACAACTGATTGTTAATGTATGATGATATTTTCAGGTTTTCCAGAATCAAACTTCACAAATGTACCATCACCATTTGAGCATTAACAGATAAAATCCTGACTACAGTATCTGGTGGTATTTTTTCACATCCCTACATGGGAAGAATATAAATATTTGTACAGCTGAAAGCAATGTAAAAACAATGTCTGATCTCAAACCAAACCAGACTGTAACATGGCATACTTTTTCAAACTCTTATTTCCAACCACATCAGTGATATATACTCCTACTTAAATGTGAAAGACATCGAGTGTTTTTAAGAAGTTGCTTATTCTCGGGTTACGCATCAGAAAGCGCTTTACATAAATGCTTTGGGCAATTTGAAAATCTTGAATTAAAGTTTGTTGAATATTTCTGCATGTTAAGCCCAGATGGAAGATATCATTTGTCATATGTTGTGACCAGCTGCGGTCACAATAGAAACATCAGCTTTTTGTTTGTTGTTTCAGGCAATTATTTTTGAAAGTTGTTAATGGCCAGAAAAAGCAGCAACTCAAAGAGAAGCAAAACAAGAGAAATGAAATCTCTTTGCATTGTTTGAGGGATTCTTCAACCCACGACTGATTGTGGGACACTGCTGTGCGCAATTAATTGGCTGTCGCGTTTCACCCGCAAAATATACAGTCAATTCAGTTGACAGTATATTCTGCGAAGCGCTTTGAGACGTCTCGAAGACGTGATAAGGTGCTGTATCAAATGCAAGGATTATTATTGTTATTACTATTAAATCATTTGATGGATGGATTCTATGTTCTCCCAATAATTAAATCCCTTAGTTGTCATCCCAATGACATAGTTTAAACTTTATATCATATCTTAACATTTGATGGATAAATTTATCTTCAGGTTGTAAATATTTGTCAGAAACTGGTCCCCAAGGTTAAAAAAAAGTCTGGGAAACGACAAACAAAACCGACAAGTAATTATCTTGTGGCATTCTTCAAACTTTCACCTAACCGATAATAATAATAATAATAATAATAATAATCCTTGCATTTGATAATAGCTCGTTATCACATCCTCGAGACGTCTCAAAGCCTTTCACAGAAATACTGTAAAGTTAATTGACTGTAAATTTTGTGGGTGAAAATATGCAAAGAGGGTTATAAAAGCAGTGTGACAAAGAAGGGATATGAAAAGCACTCACTGTGACTGTGTGAGGATGCACACACACACACACACACACATCAACACAGAGGAAAATAACCCAAGTCTTGCAATGTGGGGGCTGTAATTCAGAAAGCTGCCAGGCTATTGCAGCAAACACAGGACCAAATTCCCTTTCTTTTTTTTTTGCACAGAGCAAGCCAGCAAGCAGGGAGCAAAACCGAGGCCAGAGGTTTTGCTTTAAAAAGAAATGCACAAACCTGGTGGAAACCCCCCCCCACACCCCCAAAAAAAAAACTGTGCCTGGTTTTATTTTTAAAAAAAATTCCATGTTAAAGCTATGACCCCTTTTTTTTTCTTTCCCCTCCTCACCACCACCCAGCTCCATCTTTCTATCCACAAACTGAAAGTAGGTTTTAATAGGGGGGGGGGGAAAGGCCCAGGGAAATGAGATCAAGTAGCAAAGCTGCTTCTCACTAACCACAGCAGAACGACTCAGCCCTTTAATTCACCAGCACCACTTACCTCTCAGTCACTCAGTGCGTCTGTGTCTCCTGCACTCTGATTCTCTCTGCAATTTTGCAGAGGTTTTTTTCTCTCTCTCTCTCTCTCTCTCTGTTGCTTTGCTCAGTGGGGTTTGGGGTGGGAGGAGGAGGAGGAGGTGGTGGAAGAAGATGATGTGCAATGAGCTGCCGCAGGGTGACTGACTGCAAGGCAGGTTCAGAGGGGAAAGTGTCCCTGAGAGAGCTCAGGTCTCACACCTCTGTGTCCTGCTCTTGATGCAGTGTGTGTGTGTGTGTGTGGGGGTGGGTGGGGTGAGGGGGGGGGGGGGGGTTGTGTGGTGCCAGCTCTGTCAATGGCATTTTCCACTCAGTCATGAATTGGCACCCAGCTGCATTCAGTGCTGATATCACCAGCCAATACATATCCCCAAGTCCATTTCAGTCTTCAAAGTTTTCTCCAGTAATGCAATAAATATTTCGGTGGGAACCCGGTGCAGCTGAAACAGTAAAACACAGTGATAATAAATGATAATACGAATAATCCTTGCATTCGATATCGCGCCTTGGCGTGTCCTTGAGATGTTTCAAAGCGCTCCACGGAACATACTGGTGAAGCCAATTGACTGTACATTTTGTGGGGCGAAACACGGCAGCCAGTCGCGCACGACAACGTCCCACAGACGGTCGTGGAATGAGTGATCGCATTATTTTCATTCAAAAAAAGCTGCTTATACCGAAATGAAGGTGTTTGAGAAACGAATTGATTGCGTATTGGGCGTAGTAAACTAGTTCCAACCTCATTCCTAACTTTGTTTACTAAACTTTTTTTTAAGATAAACAATATTTTAGAACTGACATTTTTTAAAAAAAGAAATGTTAATTCTAAAATAGATTTGCATATTTTGGAAGTGATTTTCTCTGTGACATGGTGTGTGTGAGGGGTATCTGTTGTGTGTTTACTGCAGGAAACACAGTTAAGGTTGCATATATGAAAACAAAATAGAACATATGCCACAAATTTAAAACACAAGAGATATTTTGAATATTTTCAGTGAGAACAGCCTGTAAGTTGTGGCATCTAGCCAAGGCAGGTATTAAGATGTATTATTCTATCTATATTTAAATCACATCACCAATTCAGATGAAGAGGAGTCCAGGTCCTGATTTTATACTTTATGGAGCATTTAACACTCTCCCAATTATGAGCTGTTTGTTCATTCTGATTTTATCATTTACTCTTTATACGAAGATTATCAAGCAACTAAAGTAGAATTTGAATGATCACATACTGGTACCTAGAATCTGAGATTTTACTTTCTCCAGGAATTTATCAATACCCAGTCAAAAATCAACTCAGAATACAGATGTAATAATAATAATCCCTGTATTTGATATAGCGTCTTATCACATCATTGAGACGACAACGACAACAACAAATTACATTTTTATGGCACCTTGTGTAATAATAATTATCCTTACAATTGGTGTAGCACCTTTTACATGAGGAGGATCCCAAAGCGCTTCACAGTACACACTGTAAATTGCAGCGACTGTGTTTTGATGACCGTTTTGGGTATGATTTGAGAATGCAAATTTCTTCTGTTTGAAGTTGAAGCATCAGCTTTAATCTTTCAATGTGCATTAGAACGACATTAGTCATTCTCAGCCACTTTCTCGAAATCTATCAGTTAAACTCTTTCCATCTAAATCCAGTAATACACATAAATCCCACACAAAGAGATTTTAAAACAAGAAAGAACTTGCATTTTACAGTGAATTATCATGACAAAGTGATTATGAGGCAAGAATGCTACCAACTGAGCCATACTGACACAGCAGTGAACCCAAGATTTCCACAAGAATTCCTGAAACATTAATTGGCCTTTGGTTCGGTTTATTACTACAGAAATGGACGCAATTTCCAAACTGGTCCAAATCAAACTTAATTGGATAAGCCTGAAAATTCAAACAATAATCAACAATGATTTAATAATATATTAATTTAATCAACCAGTTGATAATTTACGATTTACCCTCCCTGGTCTGTGATCTGGAGTCCTGTAGCAGAGTGGTTAGAGCAAAAGGACATGGGTTTGATTCCCAGGAAGGGCAAAAGGTTAGGCAGGTTTCCTTACTCCACACACCTCTGTTTAACTAGCAGTAAGTCGGAAACTGGTTATTAGTCGATTGATGGATCGCTTTTCCTTTTAAAACTGAACAAATAATAATTTGGTGACTCAATCCATGACTGTTTTCGGGACACAACTTGTGACATTTGCTGCCATGTTTTGCCCACAAAATGTACAGTCAATTCAATTCACAGTATATTCTGTGAAGCGCTTTGAGACTTCTTGAAGACGTGATAAGGTGCTGTATCAAATGCAAGGATTATTATTATTATCTGCATCATTACTTTAATTGTTGGTGCTAATTAATTGTTTTATGTGAGGTGCCCCTGGAATCAGACCAAAGTCAACGGAAAGAATCCAACCTTCCTCAAGACAGGAGGAGACAATTGGCAAAGATTTTTGTTTTTCTGGGGGGAAAAAAAGGAACTTCACAAATGCCAGAACATTTCAGAAATGTTTACTTTGTAATCTCAATGTTTAACTTTCCAGCAATAATTGCTGAGATAAAAGGACTGTGTGTCCACTGTGGTGAGAAAACATTTTACTCAACAAATCTTTAACAGATACGTGAAATGTTGTTGCAAATATTAGTTAATTGATAAAAATGTAACTAGATTTTACAAAATATAATTTCTGTTGACTTTCGAGGACCAAGAATGACATCAAGTCAAGTCATGAATGAGCCTTAAAAATATCCACTTGAAGGATTTGTAAATATTTGTAAATATTTGTATCTATTGCTTAATCCTGCACATATTTCATCTGCACACAGCAGTTGCTTCATTGCTTCATTGCATATTGCCTGCATCCACCTATCTACATGATTGCAGTACAACATAAAATATGGTATTATTTATCATCGACTTTTAGGACTAATTTGTAACTACATTTTGATCTCCTGAATTACAAATTGGCTATGTTTGAAAAATATCAAGTAAATATAATGAATGAAAAATCATAATTTTCTAATTATCTGGAAGGAAACGGATTAAATTTGGCAAAAATGATTTAGGAATAGTGTAAATCTTTAAACGAAACACACAATTATAAGAATATATTAGAATATTTTTGTTCTAAAATATCTGAGATGTGTAAAGTAATTTCAGTTTGTGGCAAACTATTGCCAATAATTACAATATATCAATTTGACATCTATTTCCTTTTCCTACCTTCTTGTTTCTTTATGATTTCTACTGATGTCTGTTTCCATTCCGATGCCCAACTTAGCTTTCAAATTATTGGACCAAAGTATCAGTTACCTCAGTTAATAACTAGACTATATGTTATAATAATTATCTTTACATTTGATGTAATCACATCTTTGAGACATCTCAAAGCCCTTCACAGAATACATTGTAAAATGAATTAACTGTATATTCTGTTGGCAAAACACAGCACACAGCAGTGTCCCACAAACAGCCATGGTTGAGTGACAAATTATAATTATGTTTTATTATTTTCTTTTGAAGGGATTATTATTCCCGGAAAGCAAACTGCCAATCAACTAACAACCGGGTTCCTACTTACTGCTAGGTAAACTGAGGCATGTGGAGTAAGGAAACCTGCCTAAGATTTCTCCCTGCATGATTTAAGGTGAATTATTTGATAATCTGTAAATTAAAATGCATTGCTTCATTTATCCACTAATTTCTATTTGCAATTTTACTGTCAGAAAATGGTGTCAATTGTCGGAATATTTCCCAGGTTGGGAATTTGCCAATGACCAATGCGACTATGAAATCAGAAACTGTTTGATCTTATCCAGGATAGTAATTGAAGCTCAGTTAAGAACTGTAATGGCCTGAGGTGTGATGCCTCCACAACTGAATAATCTGCCAACCCTCATTGTCAATGCTCACACAAGAAATAATGGTCACTTAAGTGATGTGCAGTGAGGGTGACTAGCGCTGCTAGAAACAGACGCAAGTCAAAGGAAAGAAAAAAAAACTCAAGACAGGAAGAGATAATTGGTTAGGATTCTTTTTCTTAAAAAAACTATTTCACAGATGTCAGAACTTTTCAGAAATAGGATGAAAAGGATGTTGAATTGTAACCTTGGTGTTCAATTCAGAACAATATTTTGCTGAAATAAAAGGGACATTGTGTCTACGTATATTCGCCCACAAATATACGGTCAATTCACTTTACAGTCTATTCTGTAAAGCGCTTTGAGACTTTGAGAAGACATGAAAAGCGCTATATCAAATGCAAGGATTATATTATTATTAAAAAAATTAGCAGCTAACTTTTCTATGCTTAACTAGCGCTAGATACAACACTATCAATTAAAATCACTAGAACAATCCTCCACAGGGACAGACCCTAATAGAAGTGGCATATCAGCCACAGAAGTGCTTCTGTCCAACACACAATCCCATCATTCTGAATAATAATAATAATTCTTGCATTTGATATAGCACTTTTTCAGGTCTTCTAGACATGAAATAGATAAAAAAAATGAAATAAATTAAAAAAAGAATAGTGACATCTTTTGTCCACTTTTTGCCGTTTTGCCCACAAAGTATACAATCAATTCACTTGACAGTATATTCTGTGAAGGGCTTTGAAACGAATCAATGACATGATAAGGAGCTACATCAAATACAGGAATTATTAATATTATTATAGATAAATACAAAAAAGTCAAAGGGAATAACCAGTATTTTTGCAGAACCTTACATCAAAACATCTGAAAAGTACTTATTGTGAAGTTTTGTGACTTTTCTTGTTAATAGGACATTTACACCAGTAATAATCTACAAAAAAAAGGAGATGAATAACATCAACAAACAAATTACATTTGTATAGAGCTTTTCACATCAGAAGGATATCCCAAGGTGTTGGATAGTCAGGGATTTGTATCCAAGCTGGGGACGTCCTCCCAACGTGAAAGGCGCTCTATAAATGCAATCTTGTTGTTGTTGTTGTTGGAATTGCAGTTTAATATCTCATCCAAAATATAGCACCACGACAATGCAGCTCTCCTCAAAAGACTTCAAAGAACATAGGACCTGAACCCACAATTTTCTGACTGTATCAAAATTATCAAAAGGCAAAATACTGCAGGTGTTGGAAATCTGTAATAAAAACAGAAGTTGCTGGGAACACTCAGCAGGTCAAGCGAGATCTATGGAGAGAGGAAAG